TCAAAATTTCCTTTTTTTATTCTTCGCTGGCAAATGCTAGCTGTTAGAGAAGTCATATCAAAAGAGGATAAAATCCACAATAATATATACTTCGAAAAAAAAAACATACGATAATTGGATAATATTATCTTTTTTGTTTCACATTTTGTCTAATAGGATAAGAATGATAATTACAAATAGAATTTATAAATATAAAAGGTTAAAAAAAGAAGAATATTGTACATAGTATACCTTAAAAATTATAATATAATAATATAGCCAAAAACCATAGGTTATAAATTATTTAGCATCAAATTTGTTATTCTTTTGCTAAATATAGTATTTGCATATTTTTATAAATTAAAGTTAATAATAATATCACCAAATTACTCCTTTAAACAACTGATTTCAACTCAATCATTTGATTAAGCATATTATATATATTTTTTAATACATACTTAATTGAGTTTCGATGAATATTAAGGAGCAAATGCTTAATTTTGTAATCATTGGGCAACACTTTAAACGACACAAAAAGGAAAAAAAAAAGGCTTTGTACATTTAAACATCATTAGATTACCTTTTAATTTAAGTTGGTTTACTTAAATAAAATAATTGGGATTTTTTAAATTTTAAATATAATTATTAAAATACTATGTTTTTCGAATTATTTATAAAAATATAATTTCTTCTTCATATAGATAGATATAGGATCTGTGGAGCAATTAGTTAGAAGTACATTTTGTGCAACAGCCCTTCCTATCTGATAGAAAAGGATCCCATGATCCTGAACCGATCTTACCTGGGATCGCAAATCCCAAGTTTGTCTATGAAGAGCAGATCTAATTATATTAGTGTCTATAATTGATTTCTTCTGCATAATACTAATCGATAGGGCCTCATTGGTAAGTGCTACAAGATCACGTACATTGGAACTCATGGTTATGGAACCGAATCCATTAGTATGGAACATTTTCTTTTCCAAGTGAAATTCCTTGGCATATGAAAGAGTGAAAAAGTGCTTTTGTTGTTGTGGAATAAGAAGCCTTCGTATTTTAATGCATGTATTTAATTTATTCGGAGCTATTAGAGCGGGATCCACTTTTTGGGGAATATGAGTCGAAGCAATAACAAGAATATTTCTAGTGGAACATCTTTCACAATCCCTGAAGAGATAGTTCACTAATAGACCAAGGGATAAGTAATTCGACGCATTCACATCTAGATCATGAATGTTTGGAATCCATATTATGCAAGGAGGCATTGCTTTTGCTAATTCGAATTGAAGGGTGATATAAAATCGGTCTATTTCTGGCATCATATCCATAGTTAGCGGCGCATTCATCATAGTTAGAAGCTCCAGCTCCGTATCAAGGTCACGGTCGATATCGTCACTATCATCAATATCGCCACTATCATCAATATTGTCACTATCATCCATATCGTCATTATCATCAATAAGAAAACCCTTAGGGTTGTTAATTTCATGTCATGGAATTATATTATATTGTCAGTGTTGTATGATGCATGAACCTACATGTGTCATGCCATATAAGCTATGTTAATATGTGCGCTCTATGCTCTTGAGACATTATAAAGTCATGTATGCTAATCATGGATATGATACGAAGGAAAATGGAAAAATATTGAGATCTCATGCATTATTGAGGGATACCCCTTCTCCTTTCATGATAGTACGAATGCATACGCTACGAGACAGGGAAACGATCATTATGTTTACCATAATGTTGTCATGACAGTCACTATTCCTAATAAGTGTCCAACATCAACAGCTACCCGAGAATGCTCGTCCAATCAAAAGGAGCCCAGGAGGTGAGCGAACTGATTGTGGACCGTGAGTAGGTATTAGTACACAACCAATTATCCATTTAGGATAGCTACGGTGGAAAATAGATTGTTATGATAGGTCTCACTCATGAATTGTATGATTTTGCATTTAATCTCAAGAGGGGAGTGCTTTCTAAGTATTTCTTAAAATACTCAAAGCATGTTCTGCAAAGATAAGGTGTCCTTGTACGACTGACTGACGACGTTTTGTATTTACTTCGTTTAGTCTAAGTTTAATATTTATTCTCGTATTTAATTTCTTTTTAGAAGATTTGATTTTTCATTTTTTTATCTTTTCGTAAAATTTATCGATAACGGGCACTAGAAAACGAATATTCGAAAGCAACTAGAAGTTTTTTTTAAAGAAAAGAGGAAAGGGATTGAAAGAGAGGCGGATAAGTATTGAATTTAATGTTTTTGGATTTTTCCATAATTTTTATTCTTGATATATGCTTTTAAAAACTAGCTTTAGGGCATAACCATTCTATTCTGTGCCGAAAAAACTAGCTATACGGTTCGGATTCTATTGTATAGACTCTTGCTTTTACATATAAAAATGTTAAACGTGATTTGAATATTTAAAAATATCGGGACTAAAAAATATAATCACAAATAAAATTGTTGCAAGCTCGATTTCGAACATGTAGTTCGAATAATTGAGATGTCGAGGTTTGATTTTTGAACATGAGGCCTAGATTCTAGACTAATTTTGAACATAATTTCTTCTCAAACATTTTTCATTTTTTCCTCATTTTTTATGGTTTCTTGCTCATCTTTCGAAAATGAACTCATGACGAAATCTTCTTTGATAATAGTCGGGTACTTTCTTCCTTGGTAAGAATTGAGAAAATTTATATGCAAACTAAAATAGATCCAAAAGAAGAAAGTGAAAACACGACTTACTCGTGATGGTCTTGAATGACGTTCTTATGTAGAATAGAACTAAAAATAAGATCGAGAAGGTAAGTGGTTGCTTACCTATAGGCGAAAATCAAACCTTCAACTTAAAATTAGACAATAAGTATGGTTGTGGATCGATTTTCATGCCAACCCACGAGCCCAACACCCAAGAAAATCATAGGAAGCCCATCAAGACCCATATAGGAAAAACACACTCCCCTAAATTTAGAGGTTGAGCTAAGGAGTACATCGAGTATTGAGAGGTTAGAAAGGTCTCATGTGCTATTTCAACCTAAGTTGAGTTCAGCTCAACGTCATTTTCTACCGACAGAGTGAACGCATATCTAACTTTACAAGTCCGATCATGTAAAAGAAAGCTACAAAGAGGTACGCTAGTAGGGTATATAACAAAAATATGGTATGCATAGAAATGAAATGTGGGTAATAGTAGAAGGAAAATGACATAGGTAGCATTTTAGTGGAAGAAAAATGGGGTGTGGAAGAGAGGAGAGAATGAAAAGTGGAAGTTGTTAATCATTAGAAAAGGCATTATTGAATAAAAGCTAAGGGAAAGTGGGAGAGAGAAAACAACCACCAAATTGCCTTTTCTTTTTTTCTTTGCACCCATATGCCGTCCAATATTACACTCGGTTTAGTTCGATCGGATTTCAATCTAACATGTATAGATCGTTTCAATCCCAATAACCCTAGTTAAAAGATTCCATCGTACTCTACTCTTCAGAGCAACTCTTCTTAGAATCTCAAAAGGCACTGAATTGGAATATCATTTTAACTAAAGATCCTTGTAGTTTCGGATAACAAAAAACAGAGAGCTTTCCTCTCTTTTCTGTCCGCCTTTTTGGTCTTAAAAATGTTAGTTTTACGAATCAGTGATTCCCCTTCTCCAATACTTACTACCTAATCTATTCCACTTATTGAACAGGGTTCTATCGTCGGTCCACAACCCCGAATATCGAAGGCGATATTTATATTTATAAGCCAAATAAAATTATAATGTTTTTGAATTAAGGTATCAATAAATAAACAAATAAAGTTAATTTCAAAAAAAAAAAACACGTTGACAAGAACAGCCACCAGAAGTGCCGACGTGGTTGAGGTTGCGGCGGTGGCCGCAAGACCTCAACTCAGCCGTCATTGTGATGAGAATTATCCCTTTTCTGTACAGCCTTAGGGATTGCCATTTCTTTTGTGTCGCAGCTTTAATGGGTTGATTCCAATCACTCTCTATGGTCTTGTCACCGTCCATATCCAATCATCCAAAACCATAAATTTTAACTACCATATTCAATCTATAACTTTCCCCACTCTATTATTTATCAATTAAATCCAAAAATTTACACTTACGATTATATATGAGTATATAATATGATGTATTAACTCAGTGAACGATGATATGAATGCCAATTACAAGTTATCGTTACATATGAACACATATGATACAATCAAACTCACAAAATATTTCAAAATCCAAAATCCGACCCATCACATAAAAATGGTTTAAAACTTCACCAACATAACCATGTTGCAAGTAAATGTCAGGATCGACCCATCACATAAAAATGGTTTAAAACTTCACCAACATAACCATGTTGCAAGTAAATGTCAGGATCATTGGATGCTGATATGTGTTGTTATACTACTAATTAAAAAAAAAAAAAGAAAAAAAAAGATTCCTGGGATACTTTTGGATATTCCTATGCAATAAATTAAACCCCCTACAGAAACATAGGTTTTATAAACCACCTCAAATCTCTTTCCCAATTCTCGAAACAAACAGATCTTAGGGGATACAAATTTAAATGTCCAAAAATTAAATTTAGTAATTTTTTTTTTTTTTCAAAATCTTAAAAAAAGAAAAGGAAAATAATAATAAAATAATAAAAGCCCAAATCAAATAAAACCAGCGTTACATATAAATAATGGAAAACGAAGTGGGCTTCCTTTCATTATCCCTTTTTATTATTATTATTATTATTTTGTAAATAAAATTAAATTAAATCCGAATCAGAAAATACCCGACCCGTTTCAAACTCCATCACCGTCCAGAAAAGGGCGGTAATTCGAGTACACTTCCAGGGGTATAACACCCGTTTCAAACTCCATCACCGTCCAGAAAAGGGCGGTAATTCGAGTACACTTCCAGGGGTATAACAGTCATTTGGCAAATTAATCACCGTATATGGACGGCGTCGGCTACCGGAGGAACGCCTATATATATTTGACCGTCTGTTAGAATCTTCCATCGCATCCCCATCTTTGTCTCTCTCCATTTAAACCAAGTAAAAAGCTCTGCAACTCTCTCTCTCTCTCTCTCTCTAGAACGGGGAAAGAGAAACACTTTCTTCCATTGGTTACTGGTAACCGTTGGTTGTTTTTGACTTGTGACCGCCAAGCTCAAGTCGCAGTGGACTGTGTTGCGAACGCCGTTTGTTAAATCACTCTCGATTGATTCCAAGTTGTGACTCTCAGGTAATTCCCATGGATTTCGTTTTCTATTTCTGGAAGTGAACGTGTACGGACAGGGCGTAAAAGTGTTTTCAGGTCGAATTGATGCGAATAACGTTGCGGTTTTTGATTGGCGTTGAGGTTTATTGGAATTCGGAAATGTCTATTTGAGTTTTAATTTGGTTTTCGTTGATTTCTTGTTTGAATTCATCGTCCTCTTCTCTGCGCGCTTACTCTGATCTTAATCCGTTTTCGCGTTTGAAAAGTCTCCGTTATTTTAATCTTTCGTACCTGCTTTTTTCGACGAGAGTTAAATTTTATATAATTTTTACATTTGAATAGTGGTAATCTTTCGTACCTGCTTTTTTCGACGAGAGTTAAATTTTATATAATTTTTACATTTGAATAGTGGAGAGTTCTTTTTTTGTGTTTTTTTAAAGCCAGTCGGTTCCTTCTGCAAACGGTCTGATGCTATAAATCCGTCTGGTTGCCGTTTACTCCATCTTGTTTGTTTCTACTCTATTTTCCGGGAAACAGTTTCCCGGAAAATTTCTTGATAGTTGACTTGGTTGGATTTCATCAAATAATTTAGATCTTCGAGCGGCGACTTGTTCTTCTGCTTAGAGGACACTTCAATCCAATCAACCAGTTCTTCTTTCTGCTGTAATTTCTTTATTTTCTTCATGTTTCTGTTCAAATGTTGACTTATGGCCATCCACAAGTTTGCCATATTCTCTCCTACTTTCTTTCTTTCTGGGTTCTGCAAAAAAAGGATCAATCCCCAAATCCTTTATCTCATCTCATGGACCCCTTCTGTTTTGAACGTAAACATTTGTTATTCACGTTTTTGGTTTTACCTTTTTTCATGCCTTATCCAGTAGTTTCAGTCCCTTAGCTGTCTTCCAAATTTGAATCGCTTGATTAATCTAATCTCCCTTCTACTCCGGTGCCCTTTTGTTTGTATCAGTCTGCGACCGGCGAGAATGTTGGAGAAAATGGTGGAAGCATTCGATGGGGAGAAGGTGATTGAGCAATTCGAGGAAATGACTAGAGATGCTGAAAGAGTTCAGAAGGAGACTCTTAAGAAAGGTGATTGAGCAATTCGAGGAAATGACTAGAGATGCTGAAAGAGTTCAGAAGGAGACTCTTAAGAAGATTTTAGAGGAAAATGGTTCGGCTGAATACTTGCAGAACTTGGGATTAAATGGAAGAACTGATCCTCAGAGCTTCAAGGACTGTGTCCCGCTTGTTTATCATGAAGATTTGGAGTCATATATTCAGAGAATTGCAGATGGCGCTTCTTCCCCTATTCTCACTGGAAAACCAATCAAAACCATTTCCTTGAGGTACTTTTGCAATTTTTTTCAGACCAAGTTTTGTTTTGATTCATAGTATTAGAGATTTTGTTGTGTTTTACTAATGAGATTTTTGGTTGGTTGTATGATGTAGCTCTGGTACTACTCAGGGGAGGCCCAAGTTAATTCCCTTCAATGATGAATTGTTGGAGACGACAATGCAAATTTATCGCACTTCTTTTGCCTTTAGAAACAAGTAATGAAACTGTCTTTTCTGTTCTAGAATCTCTTCTGCCTTGTGTTCGGAAATTGATTGTGGTCTGGTCTCTGAATCATTTCTTGTCTGAACTGAATAGCTTAATGGTTTATTACGTT